TCATCATCGTCATTGTCATCATCATCATCATCGACGTCATCAACATCATCATCATCATCGTTATCGTCGTCATCATCATCATCATCATCATCATCATCATCATCATCATTATCATCATCATCATCATCATCATCATCATCATCATCATCATCATCATCATCGTCATCATCAACAACAACATCACGAGCCTACAGTATGCCATCATGCACCACCGAAGTTCACTAGAACAAGCTGCGATTCTTAATAGTGAGATCTCTGTCATCTTACAATGAAGATGAGAAGATTTTTCATTCAAGAGATAAGGCATAGAAGACCTCCCAGTTTTGCTTTGTCAAACAGATGTAAATCTTTTTAATGAGCTGAGTGTTCAGTTGTCATTTTGTCTATTTTGTTTAGGGGAAAGAAATAGCTTTCAGGATCTGAGATATGTTATCAATCTCATTTTATTGTCCCAACACTTGATTGACAGTATATTTTATCTATTTTCAAGTGGGACGATTTAAAAATTAAATAAAACGAGGACATCACGTCCGAACGATCTGTTGAGAGCCAGAAGGATGTTAACTCATATACTTTACCACAGAGTGAATGTCCTTTTGGTTCTGAACAAACAATTATCATGTACTGCCCTCATGGCTCTTCGAAGAGAAAACCATTGACAACCGAACATTATCTCTTTCTCTCCTATCTCACTGATCTGAGGGCATTTGCACTTCCACTAGTGTCATTTTCTTATATTTTTCTTAACCAATGTAAAAATCTCAAATTGCATAGATCTGAAAGACAAATATAGATCGATGCAAATGTATGATCTTAAAGACTCATGGGTGCCATATATGCAAACCATTCTCACTCAAATGATATTAAAGAAGAAAAATGATAAAGCCTTTGTTTATTAATGTTGTAAATGCAGGGTAATGCGAGTAGTCCGACATTAAGTTGCCCCTATGTTAGATCTAACAAAGCTTTAAAGTGTATAATTAGTGTGATTATTAGAATGTTTAGACACCATGATGGCCATTACTCTACATTTATGCCGTCAAATTACAACTTTCACCGGAAATGTGGATGATGATCTGGGTTAATATTTCCTAGTGGATTTTAAAATATCGCCAGCCTTTTCCTTGGACAAAACAAAACAAGGTTCATTAATATGATAATTGCATTTTTACAGTGAGTGTATTACACTCTGTAGTGTAATTGACATATAAATATGTGATTTATGATTTTTTGGGGGGCTGTTAACATTTGCATCAGGCTTTATTTCATTGAAGGTATAGGATAGGATTACAACATGGGTTTTAGTTGAGATTTGGACTTAGGGTTAGGTAGATAGTGTTCGGCTCAGGGATGTAGATACAAATTCTGCTAATGTAGGAAATAGATTAAAAAGCTGTAGTTACTTTAGAAGGAATGTGTTGTACAACGATGTTCTTACATTAGTTTCTGCTTACAGTGAGTATGAATAATAAACCAAATTTTGATTCAAAGCTCTACTGTATTACTTGGTTGTACAAGAAGCCTTGAAAGGTTAGGCGGATATCTCTGTTGTTGTGCTAAACTTCCAACTCCCACTATTTTTGTCCGCCATACTTTCATGCTTTCATTTTCATTTTAAAGCCTGCCCATCAATCTTCCTGGTATTTTTGTAGATAAGATTTGTTCCCTTTCATTTCTCTCATCTTTTCTTTTCTATTCTAAGTCTATAAAGAAGAAATCTCATGTCATAGCCCCACCGAGACGCCAATGTAAACATCATAAAACAAACTTCTTGAACTTGTCATGTTGGTAGCAAAGACTTGGGTTTAATAGCCTGTTTAGACGAAAGAAAATCGTATTAAACTTGTATAAAGAACGTCTTATAAACAATCATTGCATAGCAAAAGGAGTGTACAGACAAGAAAACAGCGTCGATAAAGAAACGTCATATAAAGAAATGGTTGACATGACAGCTGGCCAATCATTAGTGTGCTCTCAGGACAAGCCCCGCCCAGTTACCCTGATCGTTTTAAATATCAAGTTTTTGTTCTAAATGATGCTCAAGCACAATGTTTCTTTAACTGACGTTTCATTATATGTTTTTTATGCAATGTTCACACTAAAAGAAAGCTAATTATTCGTCATAGAGCTATACAATACTGGTATAGCTATACAATGATTTCTGGTAATCTGAATGGGGTGGTGGGGGGGAGGGGCTATATAAGCCAAACAGCCCTATGAAAGAAGGAATGGGGTTATCCATTTTTGACATGATTTATACGCAGGCCATTAGGTCTTTGATTCTGGAAGGTTATGATTTATTTATCAGCATTACTTTGTCAAGATGGTTGATATATCTGTTGGTTTTTGTGCCAATCATAGATCCTGTGGTGATGGTTTCCATTAGCTAGTCACTTTTCTCCCCACAAATTTTCAAATTGTTGATTTTTGTTTTTACCTCAGTCCATTCCAATGAACCCTGATTCATAGGTTTCTCTTTGTTTCTTTTTTGTGGCGGGGATTGTTTATTTTAACAGGAAAAATTATCTCATAGATAAAAATGAATTCAAGTAGGCAGCGGTTTTCACTATTTGTTTATTTCTTTTGCTGTAGACCTCTTATTCCAATATAAGGTCAGCTTTATGGTGTATTTCAAAGTTGTTTAGATGTAAAATACTTAAACAAATCAATTGAAAGGGCTAAATGGAAATTCAATAGTACTGGTATTTTATTATCATGTTTAACCCGTTGACTACTGAATTTTATAGTTCCCATAGGATTAACACAGGGACCACCAGGTTCCCGTAAGCAAAGGGTTAATAGAGTATAGAGCAATACTATTTGCATCTCATGTAGATATAAAGAAATGTTTTCGTCCTAAAGCATCGCAGGGAGCAAGGATTACTTCTCTCTCTCTCTCTCTCTCTCTCTCTCTCTCTCTCTCTCGCCCTCCCTCTCATTATTTTTCTTTAAAACACAAAAAACGGGTAACTGACAAGGGCTTCAACTAGTGCTTGCAAATATGTCATCAGTTTCTTTCTCCCAATCCTGATTGATTTCATAATATATCTTCAAAGCTGTTGAAAAACAGCAAACCAAGACTTGTCTGAATCATACATACTTGGAAGAAATTGTTTGTGCTGTCACGCCAGAATTAAGACGGGTTTACGTGAGGTCGTAGAATCTTCAGGCATCCTTGGATGTGAACTTGTGGCTGACTCCTCCGCCGTCATCGTCTCCTTCTCCGTGAACATGGCAGTCAACAGTTTCTCGTCCCCCGAGTTCCAATTATCCTCATTAAACGGAGAAATGTTTCTGGGAGCTTTGCCTGTGATTGACACTCCGTATACAAAGGTCGTATCTGGTGATCGAGATGCCCGGATAAGATTTCATCTTTCTTAAACTTATCAAAATATGACCGAATGTCCCCGGTTTCTATAAGGCTTGGCATTTTAACCCAGCACAAGGAAAAATTCCATTGTATTGTCACATAGAGCCAGTGGTGATGTGTGAAATCAGTCTAACTCCCCCTCATGACAGATAATTCATCTTCATCTTCGTCACTCCAGATTTGTCTGACCTTGAGTCATAAATAAAGATGATTTATTTTGTTTTTCGATAAATCTGCCAATTTAACGTTTCAAAATTGTACTATTTCCATCAATAACCCTCATCCATCTGTCTGTTTTCTCTTTTACATCGTCTTGAAAATTGAATATTTTTCTCTCACGTTGTCTGGAAAAACCAAGCGTTTGTCTTTCATTTTGTCTTGATAGTCAGATTGCACTATTAGAAGCTCTAGCCAATTTAATCTATGCTTGTTCTGACACTAATTGGAAAATGTGAAGTAACGATAAAAGTAGAAAAAAAAGTATGATATACACAGTACCCTGTCTCTGTACGTTTGTTTTATATTCCCCCAAATGGTATAGTAGTGAGTTAGATTATTGGAAATTTGGAATCTGTATTTTTGCACAGCAGCCAGGCTGAAAAGTATAGCATCTGTGAAAAGAAACGATTAGGAGTGCAAAACTATTGTAAACACTTCCAAACAGGAAATGATCATTCTAAAACATTTGGTAATACCATTAATTTTCATACCTTATGAATATATATGAAATGATATGGAGAATTTCACACATTGAGCATTTCTGAAGGTTGATTGCATTAACATTCCTTTCCTTACTGCAATTTTGCAAAAATCTAGCTTAACTTATTGGAGTTTGCTCTCAAAGTTCCAGAGGGACCCTTTTCCCCTCTATTCTACTTTATCTTAGGATTCTTTCATTGAAAGAAAACAAAACAAAACTTATGATTTTTCAAAAGAGAAATATTCTAGTTTCAATCCGGTTTTCTTCTGTATTACTGTCAATAGAAAATAAGAACAATTCTGTTTTCTTACATTTCCTTTTTTAAACCATCTCAGATCTAACCTTCTCTCTCAGTGTATTATTAATAAACTCAGATACATTTAGGTTGATTTCTAACTCCTTTGTGGGTTTAGCGGTTGATTAAATCATCTTGAACTTGCTCTTTTCCTGCTGTGTTATTGATGTCTACATCTGTTATACACATTTCCTTTTTTTTCTTTCTTGGACCACAAATAGCCACATGTGACTGCTAATGGCCATGTGGTTCACTGTACGAGAGCATGGAGTCAGGGTCCAAGACCCCAGGGAGGCTTGACCACGGTTTCCTCCCAGATGGGCAGAAAATAATTACTAGACGCAATCACAGAGACTTTAAAAAAAATAAACTTTTCTCTTTAATATTTGGGTATACTCCTGCCTGTTTAGGACTCAATTAAGGAGTACCGAGTTCTTATACATGTATATCAAACTCTCGTTCTACATATGTTATATTCAACAGTCTTATCCTTCATTAAACTATTGTTTTATATCTATTAATCACAACTGGACGTACGAGAACTATCAAAGGTCATTTTTCTAAGAGTGTAACATTGTCTTAAAAATCATAATTAATCACTTATGTCCTTCCTTTTCTCTTTTTTAAAAATCCAGATATCTGGCAGCAAGACACAGAATGGCCAGGCCATTGGTGCTGCCCTAATGCTATCTCAGGACATTGCCGTGTTGCTTGTTCACAGGTAAGCTTATGATAATAATAACAATAATCATATACATTTACTATTAGCGCAGACACCGTGCAAATATATCCTACTGCACTGCAAGAGCTCCTGATGTGCTTATATCTACAACATTAAAGTTACATGAAAAGATGTGCTTTTAGCTTTTATTGAAAAGTACTTTTGATAAATCAACTTGAGCAATTTCAATAGCCAATTATAGTATTTTATAACCGACACCCCATTTTTCTCCTGGTTATGGAGTGGCAAATGCAGAGGAAACTGTCCCACCATACATGAGTACCATTGAAAAGGGTTTAAACCTGGAGCAATAAATGATCCATTATTTGGGTGCCATATTTATATCTACAGCTTTATGGTACGATAAGGTAAGGGATTATGCACAAGAGAGCTGGCTAATGACTGATGATTGTTTAATTTCCCTGTAACTTCTTTCCTATGCCAACCTAACCAAAATCTACAACCATAGTCTACACCACTGTAATGGTCATACTCTCTTCTTTTTTTTTGGGGGGGGGGGGGAGAGGAATGAGGAATGAGGGTGGCATATTTGGAAGTAACTTTAAGGTCTAATACAAGTCAAATATCTTCCACGTTTTAAGTAAGATATCTGTCCTCATCTAACACTTGTTTTTCGAAACAAGTCTGTACCATGAAATGTTTTTTAATCGATTCAACTCTGCTGTATAGTTCAAACTTAGTATCCCAAGACTTGCATGGATGTAAATCATTGGTCATAAATACATCAAGAATACTATTTACTGTATCCCGCATCATCTATTCCTTTTACTTCCCAAGTTTCCAGTTCTTCTCCCTGTATGTAAATCACGAATTTATCACCCAGGCTAGAAATAGGTACATTTTCTTTTTCTCCTGGAAAAACCAAAGCTGTGTTTACATGGCACTGTCCTAGTTTTTAACTTTAAGCTTGTGAAACCTCAAAGTTATAATCAACGATTCACTAACAGAGAGAAGGGTTCACACTGGACCAAAACTTTATGTATTGAAAGTTTTAACCAACAAAAGCCGGGGTAAGCATTCATTTTAACGACAAGCTGGCGTTACTTTTAGAGTTAACTGCGGCTGCACTATACACTTAACCTCGAGTGAGGACCCGCCTTTGCATTACTCGTACTTATCACGCTAAATATAAAAAATATAACACTTGTAGTTTGTAACTTAAAGTAAACTTAAAATGCTATCACCGCAAGTGAGTACCCATGGTCCCTAACTACAAGATTACTAAACCAAAACCTAAACTTCAAGTTAACGGAACGTTGGTGGTCGTGTGGACCTAACTTGCGAGATGTTTTTCATGAAAGATTTACCGGTATGTAGATGGTCAGAAAATATAAGATCACTTGTAGTTTGTAACTTCAAGTGAACTTAAAATGTTATCACCGCAAGTGCGTCCCCATGGTCCCTAACTACAAGATTACTAAACCACAACCTAAACTTCAAGTTAACGGAACGTCGGTCGGTCGTGTGAACCTAACTCGCGAGATGTTTTTCATCAAAGATTTATGTAGATGGTCAGAAATCCGATCGCTCTCTATTGTGTTCTTGAACCCAGCCATCGGGTTCAAACTTGGGAGATTTGAAGAAAATGACATTCCCCGAACGGCACTTGATTAGAAACATCTGTGTTGAGGTTTGTGTGCTGTCATAAATTTGTTGACAATTTTCAGGTTTTTTTATATGTATACATTTTGGAAGTAATCTGTGTTTGAACAGTGTTGTTTCCTCTCATTTACACTCAACGAGAAGAAGTGGAACCAGAGAAAAATGAAGTCAGTTCGTTTTCCTACGACTGGAGCTGAATCTGTTCATAACGTTTATTGTGAAAGCGGAAACTTCTAAACTTCTGCCAAAAAATAACTTAATCACAATCGACATGACACCAATAATTTGCCATTTGTGATGTATCTTGCTGTGAAAACTGCCATTCTTAAATCACCAAACTTTGTGGTCTGACAGCATGTCTTTGTAAGGTTCTGGCAACGATATGGAAAACAGAAATGTATAGATTACTGGGTAAGCTAAATATAGATGAATGTTAAATACTACAAATAGGTGAATTCTCCACAACAACTTTGGTAGAAGATTAATCATAACTTTATAATTAGCATAGAAAAATAAGAAAATAAAGCTTAAATCGTCTCGACCATGTGCCCACTATAGAGTCTGTTGGTTTGTTTTCATCTTGCTGATCCAGAACACCAAACACTGCATGATTAACAATCAATTCAAGCTAGTTTTTCTCCTGAATTGAGATAAGTTTTAACATATTGTTCTTCATCAAGACAAATCAGTGCCTGCAGAGGGTTGAAAAATGATCAATGAGTGTTTGAAAAAAGGACTGATCACCCCGGTGGAAGTTTTCTCACCGTCTACCTAGAGAGAGCTAGCTAATCTCCCACAATCGTTCGATTGCGCTGTGGTTTGGCGCGCCTGTGGCGCGAGCAAAAGACATCGCCCTATTTCCTCTCCTCCGTCTTTGTCATCGGTAAATCCTCGGCAGCTTCTTCCCGTCATCGTCAGGCTCAAGGAGGGGGTGGAGGCTTCCTTCAATCCCCGTCTCTTTCCTGTAATCTCCGTCTCTTTCCTCCAATCTCTGTCTCTTTCCTTCAGTCTCCGTCTCTTTCCTCCAATCTCCATCTCTTTCCTCCAATCTCCATCTCTTTCCTCCAATCTCCATCTCTTTCCTCCAATCTCTGTCTCTTTCCTCCAATCTCTGTCTCTTTCCTCCAATCTCCGTCTCTCTCTCCTCCAATGTCCATCTCTCTCCTCCAATCTCCATCTCTTTCCTCCAATCTCCGTCTCTTTCCTCCAATCTCTGTTTCTTTCCTCCAATCTCCATCTCTTTCCTCCAATCTTCGTCTCTTTCCTCCAATCTCTGTCTCTTTCATCCAATCTCCGTGTCTTTTCTCCAATCTCCCTCTCTTTCCTCCAATCTCCCTCTCTTTCCTCCAATCTCTGTCTCTTTCCTTCAATCTCTGTCTCTTTCCTTCAATCCCTGGCATCTCTTTCCTCCAATCTCTGTCTCTCTCTCCTCCAATCTCCGCCTCTGTCCTCCAATCTCCGTCTCTCCTCCAATCTCCATCTCTTTCCTCCAATCTCAGTCTCTCTCCTCCAATCTCCGTCTCTCTTTCCTCCATTCTCCCTCTCTCTCTCCTCCAAGCTGCTGCCTTCTCTTTCCTGCGTTCCATTCTCTCTCCCATCGGGAGCCTAATTGAATGTGACGCGTTGCTCAAGATAGTCGGCTCAATTAGTCAATTAAAGTCGCAGGTGTTTCGGCGGAGATGCCCATGTTCTGCCCCTAATGTGAATTGAGCATGAGTGGAAGAGACGAAGAACTTAAAAGGTAGAAGTTTAGAGCTCTCCTGGAGCATTATCTGAACAAGCACGAAAACACTGTCTGTTGTGGCAAGGTAATCCTTTGCTTTATAGTTTCATTACAATTTATAAGGACAAAAGAAAACTAAGAAGTTTGGAGTGCCAACAGCTAGCATCTGTGTGCCATGAAAGATATCCAACTTTTACCCTTCCATTTTCTTGATATTGCATGTATTGAATTTTCCTCTATCATCCAGTTCTTTATTTCAATGTCATTTAACAGAAAGGTTGAGGAGTTAAGTTACACCTGTAGTGCAAAGGACAAATTGGGTTTTTCCAATGCTTGGATTAAAATTGGAATGTCTGTTTCTGAACTCTGTCTTTTCTTTTGCATAGATTAAAGACAGAGAAAGTTAGAGTGCATTTAATAAGAGATCTTATATAATCATTTCCTTCACAATGTTGCTTCGAATCGTATTTAAAACTGATCTTCAAACATGTATGTTCTAAAGTTATATCCAGAGGTGAAAAAGACAAATAGCTAGAGATAGTAGAGCCAGACAGATAAAAATGTCATATGTATACGATAGAGATAAATATGTAGAGTATACAGACGGACAGACAAACAGAAAGACAGGTAGACAGACAGACAGACAGATACAGAGATTAATGTCTTGACATTGATGGAATAGGTAATGTTTGAACTGATCTCTGTGTGTACTTTTCCATCTCTGATTACATTGGTTTTCTGCCAGACAAATGGATCATCATTATCTTCATCATGGTAAATCTCAGCTCAGCTCTCTGTCTCTTTCTTTCTTTCTCTCTCTTTCTTTCTCTCTCTCTTTCTTTCTCTCTCTCTTTCTCCTCTCTCTCTCTCTCTCTTTCTCTCTCCTCTTCCCCTCTCTTTCTCTCTTTCTCTGTCTTCCTTCTCTCCCCTCTCTCTCTTTCTCTTTCTCTCTCTCTCTCTCAGCTCTCTCCTCTACCCCCTCTCTCTATCTTTCTCTATTTCTCCTCGCCCACTTTCCTCCCACTCTATTTCATTGTCCATCTATCTATCTATCTATCTGCCTATCTCTGTCTATATCTCTCTCTTTTTCTTTCTTTTTCTTTCTATGAGATTATACCTTTATTTTTCTACCTGTTTCTCTTCCTCTTTTTCTCTTTCTCTTTTTCTCTTTCTGTTTTGTTTTTTTATAAGTTATTTCAGAAAGAAATGGCAACTGTTTTATATTTGGTAATGTTGAAGTGAGATACCTCTCAGTAAGTAAGTTTCATGTATTTTATTACTATTTTACCAGAGCACCTTAACAAAAGCATTTTAGAGCTCTTTCTTAGCTGTAAATGTTAATGGTTTTGAAGACGTAGCATATAGAAATGCATTGTTCCGTTCTTGAATTTTGATATGACATGAAGTTCTGTTCATGCCTAAGTAACATGTGCTAAGTATATAGTTCAAGTCTTTAAAAAAAATCATTCACCCGTCAACCTCCATCCCAACGTGTTTGTGGAAACAACGTCTTATTAAATGAACAGGTTAACGAAGCAATGGGAATGTGCCCATCAAACTTTGGTTAACACAATCAAGCCGATTCAAATTTCGAAGGTAATGTCTGTAGAATTGTGCATATGAATTATGAAAGTTGTCTGTCCTCTCATTCGCT